CAGTTATGAAGAAAAAGACTACTCTTGACAATGAGTTTGTAGTTCCGTACAATCGGGTATTGTTGAGTAAATACAGAGCTCACGTTAATATAGAGCTATGCGACCGAGAAAAAAAAGTCAAACAAATACCTGTTCAAATACATCAACAAGAGCCATGATCGAGTTATGGCGGCATTTTATGAAACACGCAATACTGATTGCGGTGCTGAGATTCGTGGCGAGATAAAGATGTACTACGACTGCAGATATTTGCCGGCATGTGAGGCAATGTGGAGGCTGTTTAATTTTGATATTCATTACAGAGACCCATATGTAATTAGGCTAAGCTTTCATCTCCCCGATCATCAGCCGCTTGTCTTCAATAAAAATCAGTCATTACAAAGTGTTCTGGACAAGCCATCTTCCAAGCAAACGATGCTCTTAGCGTGGTTTGAGGCGAACAAGAATTATCCACATGCTAGGGACTTGAGAATTACGGAGATTTTCCACAGCAGTTTGTGTATAAAGAGGATTCTCGCACTTGGGCGCCAAGAAAAAAAAGATTTTCTATTGGTAGGATTGTGAATGTTCCCCCTAGAAAGGGGGAAGACTATTACCTTAGGTTGCTACTTAAGATTCAAAGTAGTTGCACGTGTTACGAGGACATGAGAAAAGTTGCTGGCTACGTCTACCCTACGTTCCAGGATGCATGTTATGTGTTGGGTTTGTTAGACGACAAAGAATACATAGATGCGATAAGAGAAGTGAATGCTTGGGCATCTAGGGATTATATAAGGAGGTTATTTGCGGTTATGCTGCTTTCCAATAGCTTAAGCCAACCCGAACATGTTTGGCGAAGTTGTTGGTCAGATTTGGCGGAGGGTATTGCTTACAAACAACAACGGCTTCATAATAATCCAGGTATGACAATTTGTATAGAACATTATTCAATTAGATTTTAAATATTACTCATTTTTTTAATATTCTCTCTTTAATTTTTGAACTAAATGCACAAAATGTATCAAATTTTTGTGCAGATTTATCTATATCGGATGAAAGCTTGATGAACTGTACTCTCACTGATATAGAGAAAATATTGCAAAGTAATGGCAACAGTCTACGTAATTACACGCCCATGCCATTTCCAACCGAATTCGCGATGGAAGACACAGTAAACATATTGGTCTTAGATTAACTGGATTACGACCGGTTTGAAATGGGTAGAGAACTTCAACGGTGTCTTGCCTCAATTTACAGAAGAGCAATGAAAGGTTTATAATGTTGTCATGGATACTGTATCCAATGACCGTGGTGGAATGTTCTTTCTATATGATCATGGTGGAACGGGGAAGACGTTTCCCTGGAAAATTCTTTCGGCTGTAGTCCATTCCAAGGGAGAGATTGTAATTAATGTTGCATTGAGTGGTATAGCCTCGCTATTGCTCCCCGGCGGAAGAAAAACTCATTCTCGATATGGACTACCCATAAATGTACACGGGACTTCCACCTCCAGCATAACGCAACAAAGTCCACATGCGGAGTTTTTTATTAGGGCTAATCTTATTATATGAGACGAGGCTCCTATGATGCATAAGTACTGTTTTGAAGCGCTTGACAAGACAATGAAGTCAATATTACAGGTAGACAAATCGTCTGGAGGTAAGGTGGTTGTTCTTGGAGGAGATTTTAGCCAGATTTTACCTGCTGTACTCAAAGCATCAAGGCATGACATAGTACATGCTATGGTAAACTCCTCTCTGTTGTGGAATTTCTGTCTTGTCCTGAAGTTGAGTAAGAACATGAGATTGCAGTCATGTTATTCTCCACCTAACGTGGACGAGGTAAGAGAATTTGGAGACTGGATACTGAAGGTTGGTAATGGGGATGTTGGGGAACAAAATGTTGGTGCAACTTCGCTATAGATTCCCGATGACATGCTGATTGGTGCTTCAGAAGATCCATTCAGAGACCTACTGAGTTTCGTATATCCCGATTTGTTGAGTAACATATATGATCCAAATTATTTTCAAGGGAAGGAAATTCTTGCACCAACTAATGAATGCGTCGAGTCTGTGAACGATCACTTATGTCTCTCCTTCCAGGTGAGGAGAAGTTGTACATGAGCTCAGATAGTATGTATAGGGACGAGCAAACAACGGAAGATAATGAAGAAATCTATTCGACTGAATTCCTGAACACAATAAGATGCTCGGGAGTTTCTTCTCATGTCTTGAAGTTCAAGGTCGGTGCACCAATTATGCTAATAAGAAACATCGATCAAGCTAGAGAATTGTACAACGGGACCAGACTTCAAATTATTAGAACCGACATTCACGTTCTGAATTGCAAAATTCTATCCGATAAAAATATCGGTCACATGGTGTTCATTCCTTGGATGACTTTAATACCATCTAACTCCAGACTGCCAATTAAATTTCAGAGAATTTCTGTTGATTGTTTCTTTTGCAATGACGATCAATAAAAGTCAAGGCCAAACTCTTTCGCATGTTGATTTGTATCTTCCTAGGCCTGTCTTCAGCCATGGTCGACTATATGTTGCACTTTCCAGAGTTAAGAGCACAGGTGGCATTAAGATATTCATCAAGTGGAATTCGGGTGAACTCACCAATGTGACTAGAAATGCCGTATACAAGGAAGTAGTCATTGAATTTGAAGGTAGAAAATATTTTCATATTTATCACTTTTTCGTGTAACATGCCCTGATTTTTATTTTTTTAACAACTTATCTTTAGCAGGTCTATCTTCCTTATATTTTCCCCCGTGCGATGTTGTTTTCAGTTATGTCCCTAGGATACTCAATTCAAATCTTATTATCTTTAAGATTTATGTTTGTCGATATACTAATATTTAATATTATTCTTATATTGTAACTATGAACAACATGATACTCATAACATATTTTTAATATTGTTGGTCGATGAAGTTTTGTACTTAAATTCAATGAGCGTAATAATTGATATATGCATAAATTTGTTTTACAGACATGAATTTTCAGTTGAAAATATGCCGCCCCGTGCATCGCACGGGTGAATACTAGTTCAATGAAAATATAAAATCTTTAATCCCATAGGACTAATGATTGACAAGTCAAACTAAACATTTGTTTCACATCATTTATAAATTTCATTCCAAAAATGCCCCCCATACACAAAAAAATGAAATATGCACCAAATAAGATTTACACTGTATTTATCATTTTTTATTCTGCATTTAATATTTTAATTTTTGCATCTAGTATTTTTGTTATTATTTTTTTTCGTAGAACATGTTTTCTTTTTTTTTCTTTTTTTTTTTTTTTTTTTTTTTTTGCATTTTCTTATTTTCTCACCATTATAAAAATCTAATTTTTCCCTTTTTTTGCATACTATTGAAAATTATGATCTTTTTTTATTTTTTTTTCGGCTATAGTTATCTATAGAAAACCGTAGGAAACTGCAGTAGGTTGTAGTCACGTATAGACACACCTGTAGAAACTGTAGTAATCTGTAATCACATATTCTTAAAACCCTAACTTCTCATTTCAACCCTAGCCGCCAGACATCATAAATATTAATACACCCTCACAAACATCTATGGACATGAAATCGAAAAATCTTACATTTGTCCCACCAAACCATAGATTCCCTCCACCAAACCATAAATCCGCGATGCCAACATCACCCACGCTGCTAAAGATGCCACATACCCCACCCACGCTGTCGTTGCCATCCTCACCCCCAACATCGTTGCGCCACCCAGGGGCGAGTCCACCCTTGGGCAAGGGTGGACTCAAGCCCACCCTCATTTTTTAATTTGCCCCCTATATTATATCATATTTCTATTTAGCCCACCCAAATTTTATTAACTAGCCCACCCAAAATTTCAATTAATACAAAAGAAGCCCCATATTTTATTAATTAGCCTACCCAAAATTCAAATTAATACAAAAAAGTCCCAAATTTTATTAATTAGCCCACCCAAAATCCAAATTAATACAAAAAAACTCTAAAATTTATTTTTTTTCTTTCTTTTTTTTTCGTTTCTCCTTTTCCTATTTTCAAAAAAATCTCGGGGGCGCTGCCCCCGAACCCCCGAAAATTGAAGCCCCCCTGCACCGAATTCTTGGACTCGCCACTGGCGCCACCGGCAGCATCCCCGAGCGTCGCCGCCCAGCAAGCACCATCCTCATGCCCAACAACACGTTGACAACCTTTTGTTTTTTCATTTCGATTTTGAATATTAAAACATAAAATGGATATTCCTATTTATAATTTAATTTTAATTCCTAAAAAAATTCTGAAATTCAATACCGGTTTTTATTTTTGAATCATAAATACAAACAACTTTAAACACGTGATACTTGTTCAACTTTATTTTTAATCTCACTCTAGTCATTTATTATCTACTTAACTTTAGCATTCGAAATATAAACCCTACAATTTCACTCTTATACTAAATTAATCACATTTTTTTATCATTGAAATTCAAATTTTAAATTAAGTTTTTTAACTTTTAGAATTAAATTATGAAAAATCATAATTCTAAATTTGTCCAAAATTTATCTTGAAATTGTAAAAATAGAGGCTTCGGCTTAGAATAAAGAGTTTTGGAGTAGATTTGATTGGATTTAAAATATAAAAACTTGGTGAAAAAATCGACCTAAGAAAGCTTCACAAATTCATAAAAAGGAACATATGCAGTGGATACATGTATGAGTTATGCTTAAGATCCCATAAATTTCGTTTCTTGATGATTAATAATGCAAATAAAGTATGGGATGTGATAAATGCCGTTCGAGTTTTAATAATAACTTTTTGACTTCAAACGTGATTTTGATTATTTTTAATTCCAAATTTTGCAAAACCCGAAATATAGAATTTGTAGTATTCTGAGTTAGTTTTTTAATCCAACTTGAATCACCAAAATTGGATGTCGGATGAGAAAGATATACAAGGAATCAATGGATACTGCCCACAACTTTGATGTATTGAGGTATCTAAAATTCGAAGTGTGACTCATTCATGCATAACTTTGTCACACGGCATCCAATCTAGCGGATTTAAGTTGGATTATAAAGCTAACCCAAAGGACTATAGTTTTCGTGTTTCGAATTTTGCCAAAATCAAAATAGAAATATGTCAAAATCAGGTTCGAAGCCAAAACGACATTAGTAAATTTGAAATGACATTTAACATTTCAGATAGTTTTGCAACTATTTTGTCTATTCATACTTTCTTGTAGGGCAGAGACTGAGTTGGTTTTTATCCACCAAACGATCCACACACATTTTTAGGCGAATAAATATTTTTTAACCCACCGATAATTGGATCGGGTTAAAATTTTCAACCAACACATCTATAATGGGTTGGTTAGTGGTTTCGAATATTATCAAAAGTTGGTTGACCGATAATTATCTGTCAACCAACTATATTAATAAAATTTTAATAAAAATTATAAAATAAAGGGTGTGTTTTCTTAATTACTTTGAATTTCTTAATTATATTTTTTGTCAAATTGCTATTAATTATTTTGAACCGATAAATGATGATCTCGCAGTGGTATTATACAAAATGTGCATATTTTTACTCCCAAATTTGATATTTTTTTTAAAGTGAACTCGATGGCAGGTATAATCCATCACCGATCCATTCCGGAACAAAATATTCGGTTGTCAACCATCAACCGACCCACAAAGGTTGGTCGGCAGCGGTTTTCAAATTTGAGCAAAATTGGTTTCTGGATGGATCGTTTTTTAGACTGGTAATCGAACAATCCAACTCAGTCCCATCCCTATTTTATTTAATATGAACGCGCCGTCAATACTTAAATCAATTTTATTACAATCGATGTTGATTGAAGATTAATTGTATCTATTTATTGAATTGTAGATGCTATAGGCAATGTTTATTTGTAGATTATGAATCATTAGTTGCTACCGAGTATCAAAACATTGAGTGAAATTAATAACCATACTTTCTTAAAAAGGGGTTGTTAAATTAACCCATAGAGTTGAAGGTTTTGACAACTCGAAATGAACTGCACAAAATCGTAACATCGTAGTTATACAAAATCAGGGGAAAGTAAGAACAAAAAATAGTAAAATCGTAACATAAAAAAAAGAGGGAAAAAAAACGACAAGAAAAAAAATCTCTGTTACGGACGGACAGACCGAACCAGGAACTTTGGTGGGCATTTGAGCATGACAAGGGTAAAATGGGAAGAAAAAATGTGCCAAGATAATCACATCTTCTCCATCTTAAGAACAAGAATGCTTCTTCGGTTAGGTAAGAAGCGCGCTATAAGGGGTCAAAAGAGTAAAATCTAATATATATATATATATTGGAGGGTATAAGTTGTCAGAAGAAAGAATAGCCGACGAATTAAAGGAGACTCAGAAGTGTCGATTTTGACCATATAATTATTGTGATGTCACAATGCTGCCATCATAGTTGATCTTGCTGCATCCCTCCTCATTTCTGCAGCTTTTCCACTTCCTCTGAAGTACATGTAAACTTGCTGCACATTGTTTAAATTGGATAAACCCGAGTTTTAAATAATTAGCCAAGCACTAAATATCAAACGACACATTATTATTGGTTAGGATCTAACCTGAATCACCCATATGCTAATCAATGACTCGACGCAAAAGAACCCAAATCCCACAAGGTAAAATATCTGCACCGAAGGCGATATATAGTAAATTGAGAAGGCAATTTTCAGTAGTTCAATGTGTCGACAAAAATAGAAACTAAATACAAATACAGTCGTGAATTTTGAGTCTTACCCCAGCCAGAGTATTTTCACTTAAAAGGTCAATTGCAGGCAAGATTCCACTGAAACAAGTTGAACAGCCATCATCAGTAAGCAATACAACACAACAAAAGTGACGAGGACTATTATCAATCTTTTCGCATGTACGTATTTAAGTGCATCACTCTATCTGTGTGTTCGTTTCTTGTGCCTATTTTTTCATTTTCTATTCATTCTGTTTTACTGAGTGGTGCATTAAAAAGGAAGTCATGGAAGTTGCAGTCCGCGGTTCAAGCCAAAGAAAAGAAACATACGTCAAAGATTTCCCCTTAAAGATAATTGGAGGAGCAACAGTGGCGAAGACGCAGAAACCAATGTGGAACTGCATAAGCCAAAAAAAAAACAGCAGCAAATTCGTCAGATGCCTTCAAAGTTTAGGATAATCAGCAGAAAGTAATCGTATATTTACCATGTAAGACAAGAAGAACCATCCAAATTTCAGAGCACTGTCAGTCCTGGAAATGCATAATAATGCAAAATCAGTATAAATGCAAAAGGGATCCACAATCCACGAAGTAGTACGTACAACGAACAAAACATTAATCCAAAAAAATTGCCATGTCATAATAAAGTAGAAATGTATGGAAAATTAGGCTGGAGAAGAAACAGGCCAAAGATAGGCAACTGTCACACTTGGAATGCCATTATAAACACACACACACACACACACACACACACACACACACACACACACATATATATATATATATATATATATATACAGAGAGAGAGAGAGAGAGAGAGAGAGAGAGAGAGAGAGAGAGAGAGAGAGAGAGAGAGAGAGAGAGAGAGAGAGAGAGAGAGAGAGAGAGAGAGAGAGAGAGAGAGATCTTTTAGGTACCTCATTGCACGATACAGAGGACGGTACCATAACACATAGGCTCCTGGAACACCAGATATGAGGTAGATAATAGAAAGAAACCAGATTGTTGGACCTGCATCACAAAAAAGTCTGAAAAACATTAACATCTCTAAAGATTATCGAATCCACCAGTTGGCATTATACAAATTACCACGAACCTTCTCCCCTAATCCAAGCTACAGTAACTGCTACAACATTCCACAGAAGACATCCTATCAAACCTGCAATTCACCAGATCAAGTCAACAACTAAATCAATTAATTGGTAGTACATAAAACTATTACGAATTTTTTTGCATTGATCTATGCTCTTCTAGTTTTTCAATGAAATTCTTCTCAATGACATAAGGAATAAGAGTATAAGACACATACATGGCATTAATATTGTATGAAGTAATCCCGGCAAAATATGTATTTCTAGCATGTTGTTTGATTTACTGCTCAACGGAACAGCAATGATGAATCAATTGAGAGCGACTCATATTGCAAGAACTATTCATTTTTATGAGACTATAGAATATATACACATAAAATGGATTACTGTCAGAAAAAGAATCGTCTAACTCAGTGTTTCCTATTCTGATAAGAACGCGCTCTTAGTTCAGTTCGGTAAAACATGGGTCTCCAAAACCCAATGTCGTAGGTTCAAATCCTACAGACGTGATTATTTCTTTGTAGATTGAAACTGTCTCAGAAATTTGAAATTTTCATAAAAACATAATTAGACTGAAATAGATTCAGTTACATGCACAACAACTAAATTTGGACTGCGCGTGGATTATAGAGAGGATGCCAATAAAAAAAAATGTTAATCAATCATTCATGGTCCTCGAGCGCATTATAACATCCAGATATAGCATCGAACAATGAGCTCCAAAAGCAAAAACTGTAGAAATATTTTCCCTTTTCGTTAATATTTTTCTTGATGCATGCTCGAAGGACATTTTTACAGATCACACGTTCAGATCTCAATATTTTAACTCACATTATTCTTTCTACTTGGCAGATTATTCATCAAAGAACTTTATGCACAAGATGATTTGTAGAGATTTTTAGTAATCTGAACCACCTGAAAACTGTTCTATTTGCCTGGAACCAACCAGACTAGAATTTTACAGCAAATGAAGTACAATAAAGCACTCTGACCAGCATTTGCATGGGAAAACTGCAATGAGCATATAAAAATCGCCAATATAGTTCATTCCACTATTGTTTGAAAATGCGATGCAGGCAAACACTGACATATCAGCAAGAGAACCAGCCAGTCAGACTTTACAAAATAGCTTATAAATAACTGCCAGATATAACTGAAGGGGTAGGGTCAGCCAACTAAGCTGACATGCTCAAAGATCTTGTGTTAGGCAGACTTTTATTTTAGCTGACTAATTTAAACTGACAAAATTGTGAGCTATGAGCCTAAAAAAGTAGCCTGGCACGTTAAATGTTGTATGGTATTAGAGTCAGCATAGAATCAAAATAATTCTCTACTTGACTATAAAATAATGACTTCTACACATTTTTAATTTAATATGTATTTATGTCATAAAACATGTTTCATGAGGTAACTACTTTGTAATGCATTTTTGGTACTTCTCATCAATAACTTCCGTTATATGAGCTAGCCCAGTAATAGTATAAACTACAGCTGATAAAGAATGTGAGCTAAGTTTGACACGAGGGAGAGAAATATATATGAAGTATGACCTATAACAAGCAAGCGCGACGGTATTCGGTTTTTTGACACTCTTACAAAACATATATAAGAAACTTTTGGGAGAAGCACAACTGGATAGGCTTTAGATGAGGTCAAATATAAATGGATAAGTTCATGATTAGAAACCTTCATGAGATCTATTTTCTTGCAGTGGATAAACAACCATCACAAACGTCGATCAGCATCCCACATTTCATTTTTTTTATTGCCCTATCCAATGTTAACCCCAGCAACCAGTTCTAACACTTAGCAACTATCAAATGCACAACTTGAGTTTATCAAGCAAAGTACATCTTTTGGGGCTTTTATATTCTTGAATCTTGCTATACTTCTTGAGGAGGGGCCCTGATTTACAGGAGTTACTCGATAAATCCACCTTCAATAAAGAGGAAGCAAGTAGAGCGCAGAGGATGATACTCCATGCCTAATTTCGGAAAATTCAAGTTCATGATATAAAGAACAATTCTTTATCTTGCTCACCCTAGATGACATAAGGATGTCGTTCCATTAACTAAATATGTATATATAGTTATGGAAGTTATGGAGATAGGGAAGAATCTATCTCTGTTTCTTATGGAAGAACTCAGCTTCGTATTCTTGAAACCTCGGATTGGTTCTCTTTATGTAAACATGTAGTGTTAATAGTATGATATTAGAATGTATGTATAATCGACAGGCAAAAATATACTAATGGAAGCATTTTTTATGATTCGTTTTTATTTATTTTTGGTTGAACTGCCTATCAACTTTAAAACTAATCAAACTATTCTTTTTCTGTTCATATCTATGGCAACAAACATGAGAGAACCTTATGAAGATTGGTCAAACTTTCCTAAAAGTACATAGTTGTTACTGTGAACTTAAACCTCAAGTAAAAGTACATACGACCGAATTTGTACCAACTTCCCTAACTTTCATCAATTTATATCTTTCTGTAATGGCTAGAAGTTATAGATACATATCTATTTTCCTATGTCAAGCATTCGCAGTATAAAAGTTTCCAGTGTGACACTGAAGGTGGCTATAATAAAGGAACAAGTTCCTCAGGTAATAACCTAGACTTAAAAATTAGGCATACTTATTCAAGGCGAAAAGCAAATAATCATTACTGTGCATTATCATTTTGCTTATGGTCAGTAATTTTATTTAGATAAGGTACCCTACCAAATCTTAGCTGCTGTAGGATTTCTCTTAACTCTTAATGTGTTAATATTTTGAGCATCAACACTGAGAATTGGCACATATCTTAAGTCATTAGTACCGATAAGGTACCCTACAAATTGTTACGTCTTTCTGACAAACTAAGAAATGGGACACGTCACGGGGGACAAGTTAATCAGCAGTGGAATATACAAAAATCACTAGAATCCACTAGCAGGAGATGGGACGAAAACGAGTGTAAGGAACCTCCCACAGACTAATATTTCTGAATAACACATTCATAATGTCATAAGATAGCTCGACTTAGTCATACCCAACAATGTCGTGAATGCAACATACTGCAGCCTCTGCAGATGAATTGGGATTTCATTCGAAATGTCATGATGAATAAGGGGGAAAAACGGTGGCCAGTTTTTATCCTCGATGATGACTCCAGCTGACAAAGGAAAAGAGAGGAAAAAAAAAAGATAAGATGTTAAACTTTGCATAACGGAATATTAGCAACGGCTGCAATACAATGTACAAGCATAATTCACTAATTACATCGTGCAATGGCATCTTCCCTCCTTTTCAGGTCCTGCATAAAATCACAGAAATTAAATTGATTAAAATGTGATTAAAATGGTTACAAGTACAAGAATGCAATCTCTAAAATTCCGTATAAAGTACAGTTTTGCAAATCTAAGCCTGGATCACACCTGAAAACCACAGGGCACGAAGACAGGAAAACAAGACATAAGAAAAGGAATGAGATTGCCTATTTATAACTTATAAGTCAAGATATCTCAGAATAACAGAAGGCAAAATAAACCTTGCAACAGTTTCTTATAGGAAGACCACGAAAAGTTCACTTGAAATAATATTTTTAATTTTGAACTAGAGATCACCTGTTCCCTCTTTTTCAGTTCGGCCTCTTTAGCTAGAAGTTCCTTCTCTTTCTTCTTCAAATCCTTACAAGATTTAAAAAAAAAAAAAAAGGCATCATCTCCAGCACTCTAACTCATGATTTTGTAATGGAAGTTATTGAAATACCTTGGAACTATCAAGAGGAATATCAACCGTAGTCCCACGGTCGTAGTCAGCAGGTTCATGAGGAAGAGGTGAAAGCCTTGAGTTTGCCGGGGGAACAGATCCAGGATTCTGAAAACCACAGCAAGAAAAATGATTTATCAGAAACATAAAACAAAAACCGCAGTACGCAGAAACAATGTACATAAATTTTCTTATTCATGCATGCTGTCAATGTTTTTGTGTGTGTATTTGAATTGGAAAGTATAATTTTAAGAGAAAAACTGCCAAATAACCAAAGCTTCTGAATGCATTTCTTCAAGAACAGAAAATTAGGTATGCGATGAAACTGTAACATCAGAATTCATGGCTTGGAAATTTAAAAGAAACAAATGCTTCCAAATGTGGTCGACAAACCATTTTGAATCATATGCAGTGAATCGGCAAGCAGTAATCAGAGGGATACCCAAAGAGCAAAAAACGTCCAAAAAGAGTGTCAGATATCAAAACGCCAGAGTAAATAAAGTGGAAAGTGTCAGAAAGAGAGTAAGCTTACTGTCGTGTAAAACGCACCCCCGCCATAGTTCGGTTGACCCCTATCTTGGTCCTGCAATCAGAAGCTCACACCAATAAGAAAAAAAACAGTTCTCATTAGTATTAGAACAGAAGAGAAGTAGAAAAGTAAAATTATCGATAAAGCTGAGCTTCTAAGCCCTATTACTGATACCATTTCAAGCACTAGGAAAGACCAACCAAACTATTAATTAAAATCAGCAATAAATATAAGAAGATGATTATTGGAATAGACAGTCTAATTTAATAGCCCTATGGATAGAATATCCACATTTCTCCATCCAAAAACCAATAAACTATATGTGCAAGATTCGTGACGAGAAGTATGTATTTTATTTAACTCTTTGGCTGGCGTCTCTGCGGCTTAATTTAACAATCACACTCGCTTGTGACACAATTGGAGTCAAGTTGAGGATTTTAGCTCACTCGATTGAAACTTTATACATTCAAAACAAAGACAAGGAATTTGTAATCTTCTTTCACCTCACAATTGCCAATCCATAACCACAACAAAGAACAAAACAAGAGAATTAAAGTAAACCACTCACAAAAAATCCAATATATTCTTAAGTGAAAGGCCTTGTTTATTCTGAATCAGTTGCATCCACGACACACACATCGACACACAATCTAACAATTTACTTCGATTTTAAACAAAACCCATCCAAGAACAGGCTCATATATTACAAGAATTTTAGCAAATACAATACCAAAAACGTAAAAGTGAAAGCAAATTACAGCAGTTCATTTGCAATTTCATAAGAGCAACTGACAACATTGCAAATAGTAAACATGGGAAACAGATCTAACATTATCACCAACATTGAATTGTTCCAATCACATTTGTCAGCATTACGAAATTCACAAAACCACGATAAATTGATTATATAAAAAAAAAAATAACAGAGCAAATGTGGAATTACCGCAAAAGGATTCACTTCTTCGTCATCAAATGGGTTGGAATCGCGACGACCAGCCATGGCAACAGCGTCTCCTCAACAAAACAATTAAAAAATAAAAAATAAAAAATAGAAATTGATGGCGGAACGGAACGAGAAATTATACACGCGGATCTGGTGAATGTGTATGAAAATAGTGATCTCAATTAGGTTTTCGAATTGGTTTTTGCCAAAATCGAGGGGAAGAATGTCCGACCTAGATTAATGCCGGGAAATATATTTCTGGGTAAGGTTTTTGCTTAGTATTTAATTTCATTTTCGATGGAAAAAAAAAATAAATATGAATGGGGATGTGTAGATTGCATGGGAGAGGTGATATAGGATCTCTACATTAAAATCATAAAATCATGTTATCGTGCATACACGTAACGGTTTATTGCTTTTTGTATTGGATTCTCTATTTGCAATTAATGATCAAATTAAGTCTACATTATTAAAAAAAAAAAAAAAAAAAAAAAAAAGTGAGGCTATTTGGATTCCACCAAATTTTTCCATCATACTCATTTTCCTTACTCTTGGTGTCGAAAATGTTTGTAAAATTTGGTACAGAGATACATAATTCAATTTTATTTTTCTTTAATTATTCGTCTTCTTCCATGGTTCACTGGAACGGCGTCGGAATGGCCGGAACGGCTGTTCCGAAACGAGAACGGTGCCCTCCGTTTCGAAATCGTAACCAGAACGGTGTTTTCCCCATAACTCATCGGAATGCCGACAAATTGGTGGGATGGGCGAGAGGGAACCACGGAACGGCCCAGACGCGACCAGAATGGCACCGGAACGGCGCCAGAACATAAAAAAGAAAAAAAAAAAAAAAAAAAAAAAGCAAACAAATTTGACACTTGGTTGTTTCCCCTTAAATGTGAAGCCGATGCTAGTGTTTTTCTCATTTTGAAACGAAATGTGGAGAATGTGTTTCAAAGCAAAATTCTTGCTCTACAATCCAATTTTGGTGGTGAATTTCGTCCTTTCGCACGTACTTTACAAAGTTTTGGTATTACACATCGCTTGTCTTGTCTCTATGCTCACTCCCAAAACGGGACCGTTGAGCAAAAACATCGACGTATAGTTGAAACAGGGCTAGCTCTTATGGCTCACTCTTCCGTGATCCCCCACCACCACATCGGAGATTTGAAGGAACGAGTGGTCGAGATGACCTGTCGAGGAGGGCTAGGGACAAACATTATAATTTGGTTTTTTCTCGAGACTTTATGTACTTTGATGTTTGTTATTTTATAGTAGATTTTGTGTTATATTTTGGAGTTTGTGTTTCTTTCCATGGAGTTTGTATTTTCTTTGGTTAGTAGTTTTTTATTTTGGAGAAATTATTGCAATTGTTTCTCAAGTACATATAAAAAGCATACAATACATGATACTTTTGAATGATCAAATATTGCAATTGTCTTCCAAATACATATAAAAACCGTACAAATACATAAAATTTTCGAATAATAAATATTGCAACTGTCTTCTAAATACATAAAAGCGCTTAAAAAAGTTTAAAGAGCGCCTAGATAATTGATGTCACATATGTAGGTGATCTTGTAACACACCGGGTAAGTGTTCCAAATTGAAGATCAAAAGCAAGCCCAAGAGCCAGTTCAAGTCAACATCATTGCAGGTTGTGTTAGAGCTTTTAGAGCAGATTTCGCCCTTCACCGGATCTGCCGTGGACACTCCTGTATCAACATCATTGCAGGCTTTCCGGCGCTGTTGTAGCCGCATATACAGTCATGAAGTCAACTGCTACCTGCTCCGCTCGCGCGCACAATTTTTTTAAGGTTTCATGTCGCACTAAACTTGAACACATGTTTGTACTCTAAAAAACAAAATATAGTTTTGTGTTGTAGAGTACAAAACAATTAATATCTTTTGGGGGGTTTCGAGTTGTTGAACACGAAATTGAACAAATTTTATTTTAGCATGACGAAGTACTGAAATGTTTCGCAAAAAAATATAGAACAACTTATTTTTACCTCATAATTGTATCTGAATCGACCATTGCAATTGTTGTTGTTGTTCGTCGAAACATATTTGAGAAACAAGTTTCAAAGTCTCAAAATTTCAAAAATGAAAGTAGAGAGAATTTTAAATTTTTAGGAGTGCTGTTGTTGGGTGCTAAATACCAACACGCAAGTGCACGTATCGCAAACAAGTAATAAAGTGGACTCGTGAGAGTCGGATGTCGATCCCACAGGGAATACGCAAATTACCTAATCCTAAGTACCAAATTCTAACAATTATGATTTTTATCCAGCCTACGCAAGTTTGTCAAATTAAATCAATTAAACAACTAAACTAATAAAGAAAGCAAATAACACAAGAAAATATCAATTAAAACGGACCTAGGATTTTATCTTCCCCCTATGCAAGAATTGCTCACCCGAAACCCCTCAATTATGAAATATATGATTCATGATTATTAACCCGAGACACTAATTTACTCATAACCCGCTGTCGCGTGTATTATGAGTCTATTATTCATAAAAGATTCACTATATGTCTATGCAAACCAATTATAAATAAAGCATTAACTAACAAGTCTCGTAAATGGCTACCTAAGGTGATATATGTATGTCTACGACACCACATGCAATTGACACACTCATCCGGTGAAAACTACTCGAAGGCTCTTATACTTACCGTCTAATTATCAAAATAGCTCTGTCGAGTCAATCCCAATAATCACAGATAAAGCACATAAATTGATCAAGTTCATGCACTAACAATCATAACAAGTAGAAGAAATAATCATAAAATCATAATTGCATAATCTCAAGAAAAAGGGTTCGCAATCCCTACATAGGGTTCCAACAAAATCCTAGATTAAAAACTTAGCTACGCATGTTCGTTACGAAAAACATAATAAAAATACAAAAATTCATAAAATCAGAAAAGAAAAGGGAAAAGGAAAACTAGGATGAAGATTCGTCAGGTCTTCGTCTTCGTTCTCTTGCTCCTCGATTGCTTGTAGAAAAGATGAAAGATAAAAACTAAAAATAAAGATAAAAGGTAAAAAGATTGATCTAATTGTGTGCTTGTGACCTTTAAATAGGGTGCAAAAATATAATAGGGCGGGTTTCCTTGTGTAATTAAAATTCCTTCACTGCGCCCCTACGACCATCCGGACGGCCGTGTGAGATTTTGAACTAAAATCCGCACGGCCGTGCGGTCTTTAATTCTCCAGATTTCTGATTTTTTCACTTTTGGCCCACTTTTTCTCTGAATTTGCAGTTTTCACCCCAAAAGTTGCCAATTCTTCAATTTGCACCTAAAATACAAATAATAACCAAATTAAGCACCAATTATCGTAAAAACACATCAAAAGCTCCAATTAAAAGATAGAATTAAGTGTATAAATATACACTTAACAGCTGTGAAATAATGAGCAAAATTCACGAAGAAAAGAAAAGAATAAAGAAGGACAAAAAACAAGATAACTACGGACATGAGAACACATTGCAACCTTCGCGACCATTCACCCGCCACCCTCCCATAGGTAAAAGCCCATCACCTAATCGTTGATCTTCTAGATTTTCGAAATTAAAATTATAGTTTTTGTTTCGAAATCAAAATACTTGTTATGTTTGATTGAAGAATGAATGTGTATGTGTATAGATTGAATTAGTGTTGTTAAACGGAACAGTGCATTGTCGCGGACACTGCCGTTCCAATTCCGTTGCAACATCGCGGTTGTGTCGCGACCGGAACGAACACATTTTAATTAAATTGTTAAAAAAATACAATATATTTCAAATATGTTTTCAATAACAATATTACATTTCAATAATATGCAAAATATTATTACAATTTCAAAAATAAATATTACAAAGAATATTATGAAAATACAAGCAATATTAATACCAAGTAGAATACCGAGATGGAATTGTGTAAGATATAATTGGAGAGTGATGCCAAAGATCTATGATTCAGGAAATCTCCATTCTCTAACGTGGCCACCACCATCATATTATTTCTTTTTTTCTTTTATGTTTTTTTTTTCCTTTTTTTCAGACAACAAAAAATCCGACGCTCTCTGAGGGTGTGTACAAAGCTCGCTTCTAACCCAATTCAAATAATAATCAACCTGAATTTAGTAGAATACCGCCTACATCCCCAATAAAAGTGTAGATCTTTTTAGAAGTTCTCCTTGAAAAAACAGCAAAGGAACACTGTAAACGTTACCCGATCGCAAACATCTGCTATCTGTCGTCGTGGCAACCGGATGGCCAAGGTTGGTGATACGCGTAAAACCTACGTATAAATTACCGCAAGTGTACAGTATCGCGTTTTGTAGAATAGTGAATTCCAGATATCGATCTATAGGGAATTAATTTCCTAAATTTACCAAGTACCGTAATTATACTATCCTAAACTTTATTTAGACATACGAAGGAATGGAGGAAATGAAACGAAAAAGAAACGATAAATAATAAAAACAACGGTCCGCCAGGACAAGCGAGGAATTCTGACGTGTGATGGCTTCTAGGGTAAAATCCACATGTGTACTATCGTTAAAGATCTACAAATCCAAATCTAATGTCAATTCTATATTTGCTAACCCAGACATTAAAATACCCTAACCCCCATCTCTAGTGTAGTTAGAGTCTACCCACAGGTCCGACGTCTCCGTTCAGAACCTGATATTAAGAGAGCATTTATGTCAAATCCTTAAGGGCTACCTGAGGTGCATCACGTCTCCGTTTCCACAACTCGAGCTATGTTTTCCTAAAATCAAACGGGAAATCCTCTCTCGAGTTCATTCCCATTTAGAATCAATTCAACTGTTGGCCAAACAATCGAAAGCATTTAATACATGAAAACATAAACAGAATCAAAGAACGACAAATAGATCACAGATCTTGAAATCAAAATCAATACATACAAGGTTTCATTTCGCTAAAAGAAAATGCTCAGTTCATTACAAACATAACATCAAAATGAAGAACACGAGAAATTATAAACTAAACGTAAAGAAAAGCTTATGAAAAACCCGAGTCGAAACCCTCGTCAAAGATTCCCGCGAAGAACTGGCGAAAACCGAAGAAAAATCGAAGAAGAGGTCGAGAGATCTGTCTTGATATTTAAAAATGAAAAAGAGACCTTCTATTTATAGTAAGAAATCAAAGAAAAATATCTCGTCTCGAATTTTGTGCCCAGATCGCGATCTGGGCTTCTTTGATCGCGATCTGGCAGCCTTGGAAACTGTGCACCGCCTTGCCAGATCGCGATACGGGAATGGTGGATCACGATCTGGTTCTTGAACAAAAAATATTCTGTGAGAACCCCCCCAGATCGCAATATAGGAAGGCTGGATCGCGATCTGGTCTTCTGCGCCAACTTCAAACACTGTTTTGACCATTGTTTAGCCTGAATTCGATAATTGTACATTTCACAAAAGTTATACATATTGACGTTAGCTTTCTAAGGCCACTTG